GACACCCGAGCAAAGCCGCCGCCTGGGCGGCTTTGCTCGTTTGCCCGGGAGCAAAGCCGCCCAGGCGGCGGGACCCCCGCCACCTGGGTGGCTTTGCTCCTGTCCCCCTGGTCTGCTGGGGGGGTCCAGCAAAGCCGCTGGACCTCCCCCCCCCAGCAGACTAGGGAGACCGGGAAAAGCTTTTCTCGCCCCTGAGGACACGGGTGGCGACCCGCCGCCCGTGAGCACCGGGGCAAGAAAAGCCCCGTTCGTAAGTTCGGGGACTGCCTGTATTGTCGTCTTTACTAAATTCCACCCACCTTCATTCAAAGACAAGGGTAATTTGAAGAAAATATTCCCAGCAGAGGAATATGCAAGGTACTTGTGGGTGATGCATCCTGGAGGCATTTGAGAACTATGCAGGATCTTTATTGTAAGCATTCTTTCACATTGTGAACATTTTTTTTTCCTTTTGTATGACAAAACTGAAAAAAATCTGCCAAACGGCAGTATTAAAAATGTTTTCCTCACCTTAGTAATGCAAGGATCTGAAAAATCTTGTCTGCTGTTGCTCCTTCGATCTGTTAATATCATGTTTTGGACATAAGTTTTGTTTGAAGTATGACTTTTTCAGAGAGTGGCCTAGGTGGAAATGGGATAATGAAACTGAAGATTTCAGGGTCATTTGAGAGGTGATAACGTGATTTTTTGAATGCTGTGATCCTTTTACAGTCATATAATTATTCTAATTAATTGTTAGGTGACCAGTTGCATGATTGTTTTTCCTAGATGCAGTCAGAAATTGTACATTGACTGCCATAGGCCATGTACTGCTGATTGCTAATGGAGAGTCTCCTTAAGCTCCCACCATGTGGCTTTGTCCAGATGGAAGAATATGAATTCTATACTCACTGTCATGAATATCCATGCTGTGTTGCTCAGTGACCATGTAAAGTTATAAGTGATTATGGGTTTTTGTTTTTTGTTTTTTCTTCAGTGTACCACACCATTAAATCTCCATCATGCCAATATTTTAGGCATGACTTTAAAAAGACAGTGTAATTTCTGTAAGCACTGTGAAGAGCAACAATGAATAATAAATTATAGAAAATGGCTAAGGTGGTGTAAATGCTATGCTAGCTACAGTGATACTGTGTTAATTATTGCATGTTAACACTACACTGCCGATCATGCATACTCAAGTGGGTTTTCGCTAACACAATGGACAGGGTTTATTTAAGAGGACAGGGTTTAAGAGTCCTAGATAAGGTCAAAGAATACTTGTGCTTTGCACAATCATGTTGATCATATCCAGAAGATATATTATGTGTAGCATAATATAGTTGAAACCTGGTGACTAATCTGGAATATTTTATCCTAATTAAACTGGAACTGTGTTATAAATAAGGGAATATTGACACGCACGTGCCAACGCCACCACCATGTGTCCAAAGCTCTGTGAAGCAGGGATTGTATCTCTGTTCTGTATTTCTACAATACCTAGAATAATGGGTCCCTGGTTCATTTCTGGGACTTCTAGGCACTAACGCATGCCAATAAGAAGTAGCAATGTGTGTGGTTTCTTTGAGTCTGGGCTCTTCAGAACATCTCTGATCTATTTCTTCCACTAGGGAGATACTCTGAATACCAAGTACCAGGTGGACCTTGGCGATGGTTTTAAGGCAATGTACATGAACCTCACAATGACAGGGGAACCTATTCGTCACCATTATGAGAACCCTGGGATTTACCGTGTCTCAGTCAGGGCTGAGAATGTTGCCGGGCATGAGGAGGCTGTGGTGTTTGTTCAAGTTAATTGTAAGTTATGCTGATTTGTTTTTCTCTGGTGTCACTTTTGCAGCTTCATAACAAATTGATGATAGCTACAGAGCTGTGATTTCGAGAGGAAATTATATTAAAGATACTACCACTAATATACATTATTTATTTGCTTGTGCACTGGCCGCACATGGTTAATGCAGATAATTGCAAATGGGGGAGCACGTTACTAAAGCAAAAGGAGACTTTACTTCATAGGGAAGTATGGTCTAGTGGGTAAGGTCAGGGGTTCAAATCTTAGGTCGGACACTAAGTCTCTCTGTGGTTTCAAACATCATGTAAATCTTAGGAAGTGAAAGTTAGTCACCTAAATCCATATTTAGATACCTAAGTATGCGACTTGTTTTTCAGAGGTGCCAGTAAGGATGTCTTCTCTTCCCTGACTTTCAGAAGTCTCATATTCAGAGAAAGGGGAGCAGTAGGTGTTTAACTGATTATCTGATTTTCAGAAATGAGAAAGTGAACTAAATCTAGATTTAGTTGCCTATTTTTAGCTACCCAAGTATAGAAATGCTCAGTCCTGTAAATTAACAGTATATTGCAGGGAGATTGTGTAGTACCACATGAAACAGACCATTTATTTTTCTTTTAATTAAAAGCAAAATTAAAAGTGTAAAATAGAATTCAAAGAAAAGGAACAGAAATGCACCAGGAATAGCATGCTCCATCAGAGATTTAATGTACCTCAGTCAACTCATTATTGAAATAAAGAAGGGAGCTCACCCCTGGAACTTCATTTTCCTCCCCCTTCAGAACTCATTACAGCTTCTCCTATGGTTAGGTACGTCAACTAGAAACCTAGAAACAAATCATATGGTCAAAAAAAGCCGGTTCTGTCTCTTGTGTTCTCCAAGTATCAGTTTCATGCTTTGGGGAGTGGGATGGGTTTCCTCCCTCATGAATCCTGGGATCAAATACAAGACAGTAAATGTTGGAGCTTCTGCACAGATTGTAGTGTTTAATGCAAGACACCTGTACTAAACTAAAGGCTCCAGCTACCTGTATTTTAGTGCAAGACAGTGGTTCCAGCTACCCATATTTCCCCTTAAGTTAGCCCGAGCTTTTCAGGTACAGTATTGCCTAGTAATTCATGCACATGACTAGGAGTAAAGAGACTTGGATTCCATTCTTCCTTCTGCCTTGACCACCTATGTGACCAGTTACAACCATATCTTCCATCCATATACATTAATTGCAAAAACTCCCAGTCAAAGCAAAGGAGCAGGATTAGGCCAATAACTTCTGTGCCTCAGTTTCATTATCTCTTTTTTTCATTATCTATTTTATTTTTTTCTCCACCACAGCGTGAGTTACCCACAGTAGCATAAATTGGAAATGAATGGTAATGATGTAATTAGTGCAACCAGGGTTAGGACAGGCTCAGTCTGGGTTGAAGCTAACGGCACTGATCCCTGGTCTAAACTAGGGAGTTATTTCAAAATAATTCCCCTTATTTCAAAATAACAATCAGAGCATCCACACTACCAAGCCCGTTATTTCGAAATAATGGGTTGGTTATTTTGAAATAACTCCTGCTTTCCACGAGGAATAATGCGAATTTCAAAATAGTTATTTAAAATTAGCAATAGTGTGGACGCTCCGGTGCCACTATTTTGAAATAACTGCTTCCCAGCATCATTCAGAGTAATTACTCACCAGTGCTTCCTGGGGCTCTAAGTAGAGGTAGCGCGTTCACATTAACGGCGCCTACCTCGGACTAATTTTAAGGCTTCCCCATGGCGTGGACACGCTCTTTTGAAATTTCAGGAGTTATTATTTTGAAATAAGGTATTTCAAAATAATTTTCTAGTGTAGACATGCCCTGAATGACAAAGATGTAAAGGACAGTGAGAAATTATTGGATAAGTTCATTATACATAATGACTTAACTGATGTTTGTACTAGATTTTGGGTTTCTGAAATGGAAGGAGCAATATAAGTTTAAAAAAATAGTGTTAAAAGCCTCCAGGTGCCTTCTATAAAGACTTAGTTTCAATAATATTATTTTAATAAATATTTTATGAAGCAAAATATAAGAACCCGATAAAGATATTTCAAAGTGTTGCAGGTTTTGTACACTGCCTGAAAATCTTATAGCTGCAGCTATCAACTACCTAGTTAAAACTTCAGAAAGGAACAAACTTACTCTAGTACATGTTTAATGTACAGAAGTTATCCATTTTAATTGGCAAATGAATTAGCTTTTAATGGACACATTTTTACAGCATATATTAATTGGACATTATGTTGACTATTAGACTGGTTGATTGGTGATATTTTATAATGAAATTAAACAGTTGGCATCATTCTTTTGAGATATTGCCTGGTAAATATCACAGGCCTGATAAGAATTTCCATCAATTTTATCTTTGATTCCTTTTCTTTCCCATTTTTTTTAAACTGGGCTAAATTTACTTGTCTTCTATATTAAACGTGCAGCAGGTAGACACCCACAAGTACACCAATAAATCACATTGATCTGAATTTTTATTTGTGGCCTCTTTTGTTTAATTAAAATGTTCAGAACATGCCTTTAACAACTTTCACTGATGAATGCAGAGAACAGGGAAGGAGAAAAGTAAGTTCAGGACTTTGTTCTGTGCAGGTGAGACTCCTGCAGAATTGCTGAACAAGATTCTTGGTTAATGGCCTTTTTGGAACTCTATTCAGCTCCACTGCAGGCTTTACATCTAGAAGTGGTTCCAGTCATTGGGAGAAACCAAGAAGTGAATTTGACAGCCATCATATTGCCCAAGAACCCTAACTTGACAGTCTTCTACTGGTGGATAGGAAACAATCTTCAGGTACACATAGGGTTTCATTGGAGATGGTTTTTCCAGCCTCTCTTCAATAAGGATTATGTCTAACGTGTTTCTTTCAGGAAAATACCCTCATAGAATATATGATATTTTGCAGAATGTCTTCTGTTTTAAACAGTCATTTATACCATCTATTAGATATTATCTTAACCCTATTAAATAATCATGAACTTTCTCTATTGTTTTTCTTTATTGCTATTTTTGATTAATTGTATATAGATTTCCATAGACAAACAAAAGTACAAGAAGATAAATGCCTTGCAGCTTGTATATGTTGCCAAGTACCATACATTTCACAGGATAGCCAAGAGATCGATGCAATTAAGGACTTTTACAGATTGTCAAAGCTGCAAAATCAGACAGTAACCCAGACATAATATATTAGGATGTAATAATAATAATACATAAACAAATAGGCAGAAAAGGGATGCAGAATGTCACAGATATAATAGAGGTTTGGCATTATATGAACCACCTCAGAATTCTTTAACCAAATATATCAAGAAATGGGGTCCAATTTTTTTAAATTTGTCACCGTAATCTATGCCAATAGGCTGTTCTTTCTTTCAGTGCTTACTTAGACAATGTGGGCATAAACATACTCCTCCATTTTTGTAATATCACGCACTTCATAATCATTGTAGCCTACAGGAACCGAAGTCTTTGTGATGGAGTTATATATATATATATATGAGTATGTATATAACCCTAGGGTATAGTTTGTAGCTGAGACTGTTTGCTGAAACCAAGCATTGTACAGTCCAGTAGCATATGCATCAGGCGTCTTTTTCTGTATTACAGTGCTAACAAACTTCAGAGGACAAGGGCTCCATTTTGATCGTCTGGTGTCTATTATTGCTATTTATGTTTGCATCCACATTTCTCATTTAGAATCAGCCTACTTCTTCATAACATTTCCTTTAGCAGAGTCACAATCAGTGTTCCCTCTAAGCTGTGTGGTAACACAGCTTCACAGGTGATTAATCATCCCTGCCCAGGAAGAGGCTCAGTGCTCTGTGCATGACTGGTCAGAGCTCATTAATCTCCTCTGAAGCTGTGCTGGCCTACATAGCTGAGAGGGAACACTGGTCGGAATTATATTGCAGTTCATCACCTTTAAGGAAGCCATGATGTAACACATTTGGAATTGTGGCATCACTGAATTCTGAGAGCTTCTGTTTATGTACAACCAACTTGATCATTAACACAGACAAGAACTGAAATACTGTCATGAAAGATATATTTCTGACAAAGACTGTTGGTGATGCTATATGCTTTACAGTTTGTTATAGAAAGATGAGCTGAAATCTAAAAAGTCAGAAAATAAAAAATTGATCATGTGCCATAGTTCCGGTTATTGGTGGGTAGATCTGTTAGATACATGAATCATAAAACATTAAAAATCTAAATATTTCTACTAGGACAACATTATTCTTTTCTATTCATTTGAGCTCATTGTCTTTTAAAATTATTTTAAAATTTGTGAGTGTAATGTAGTGCTCATAAGAGACTAAGATTACTGCCTGAGAGAGGAATAGTTCAGATGAGCATGATTTTCTTTGCACTTGTGCCATTGCACCATAATCTTGGTGTGCCCCAGTCCATTATGCAAGTATTGGGCCTTTCTTTAGCCCAGAATGCAAATCAGATTATATTGTGTAGTAGATTGATGTGCACAAATATGAACTAAGCACCTAATTCAGCAAGGTACAGAACAGCTCAGGTCCCTTTTGGCATCTTTGCATATTGCAGGTGTGCAATAGAGCATCTGTATGGATCGGGCAATAAAGTCAGGCCACAAAACTAATTTAATCTTAATTGACAGACTCTAAACTAAGGTGTCTAGAAGTAAATGGCCTACACACTGAGGGCCTGACCCAGAGCTCAGTGGTCACTAGTCCTTCATACTCAAAACTTCTTTTATAATTCTTCTGCTCATTCTTTTTTAAAAAAAAAAAATCTTCTATTTTAGCCACTTCTCACTTTGGACAATTTTTTGGTCACAAGATTTGCTGAGACAGGTGAGGTGAGAGTTACAGTGCAGGCCTCCTGTGGGAACTCCATGCTTCAGGATTCCAAAATTGTCCAAGTTTTTGGTAAGATACTTTTACTCCATTATATTTTTTGTCCACTGAATGTACTTCTATATTTTACAATGCAATTAGAGACCAGATACTATTGTGAAATTTTATCTAATGCCATTTTAAACTTCTAAATTTTAGACTCTAGACCAATGATAATGAAATACCATTGAAATCAATGGAGAGAGACTAAGAGAGAATTTGACCTATATCCCTTATAAAAAATGCTACCATATTATTCCAACACACTACAAATATGTTACTATAGAATTTACAGGTTTTTATAATTGTTAAATCATTCTGTTGACCTTACTACAGAAACAACAATGTGGAGAGAAAAGGCATTCAGTGGGGGATATAATTTCAGAATAAAAAACACAAAAGAATTTGCTGTTGTGATAAAACCTTTTTGTTTAATGATTTGGTCATTTCTCTGAGTTTGGATTAGAAAGAACTGCTGAAAAATGTCAAATGACCCCTTAGATAATGTGCTGCATAATATAACAGTTTATTTTGCTGTGCTGTATAATGTGCCGACGAGGCATGATGTACCATGAAAAATGAAATAAGGAAGAGGAAATAGTTAAACTTGTATATTTGCTGTCATATCTAGGTATCTGGGATGTATTATAGGTCTTAGTTTGCTAAGGTTTACAAATACAGAGAGCTAAAATCTTCATATATCTTGGACACATTGAATGATACTTGGCTATTGTCCTAATATTCCAAGCAGACTTTGCCCTTTTTTATTGTGATATGCTTTTTAATATAACATAATGCTAAACAACAGAATTCAAGCTAAATACAGGGCAAGAGGTTTGCAAACCCTCTAACAAATGGATTTCATGAATGCTTGTGACAGCATTTATAAACCCACCAGCCTTTTAGAAAGCTTTAAAAATATTAACCCCATTATCATGGCTTGTAAGCATATTACTTTTCATTATTGCAGCTGCTGTTAGCATTGGCAAATCCTGAGTCAAAACCTACCAGGGCATTGGGTTGAAGAAAATAAAGAAATCCTTAGAAAAAATAAATATAAAAATTTGATTAAATGTCTAAACTGCTTAAGCGATCGTGTCTGGATCATTCATGCATTCCAAAGGATATCTTTATCTGCTTTGCATTAGGTTCTTCAGGTATGCTTCCAAGAAGCCTGTAAGGAGAAAGGAAAGAATAGAGTCCTGTTTTCTTAAGGAACTGTCAATTCATAATATTTCAGTTATTTTTGGATTATATTCATAGAAAGGTTGTGAGTGTGGCTCATTTATCCTTTTTAAACAATGCAGTAGTTAGCGGTTGCCATATCAGTTTTTGTTTATAATTTCACAGCCAGTTTATAGAAAACATAAAGAAGTATTGATTCATTTTGCATTAAAAAAGGAACATGCAATGGGCAAAAACCAAATATTTATAAGAATCAAGTCTATAGGATCATGCCCATTAAAAACAAAAACTTCTGCCTTATCTGTGGAGTTATGTCTTCATGACATATTACTGGAAAGATCATTGAGTGGAGTATATGAAACTTTACTTAACATTTTCCTGATGGCTAGAATATTTAGACCTAAGATGATGCATCAGTGAGGAAAATACAAAAATTTAGTATTGGTCCTAGCTACTTATATTGTAAACTCCTGGGGACAGGAGGTAGGTTTTTATGGGGGGAGGGGCGGGGGAGTTGTTTTTTCCCCCCCAGAGTTACTCTTTTCTGCAAAACTGTTTTTCCCCAGTGCTCTTTGAATTGCTCAAAGGTGTTTCTTTTTCCTGTTCCAGATCATTTTCAAGTTCTTTCTCTAAAGTTTACTAAACATCTGGACATGTACAACCCCAACATACCGGAGTGGAGGGAAGACATAGGTCTGGTAGTAACACGACTTCTTGCAAAGGTGTTCTCTCAGTTTACTCATAAACTTCTTCCCCAGTCATAAAGTTGAAGGTTAAGTTAATGCCTTTCCATTTAGAAAAAGGTAGAGCAGAACAACAAAATGATCGCCATGAGTCACATTAGGAAGCAGTTTGAGACCGGTGTTACTTGTGTATACAGGCCATAGATCACACTACTGCAATACTGTCAATTCATTTCTAAAAGCCTAACTGGGAATTAACAATAAATACTGCTCTCAGGGATTTGGGGACCAGGTGGAAATATTAGCTAATACTGTTGACCTTGGGGAAAAAAATGTGCCATGAATGTTATGTCCTTAGTACAATGATATACAATTGATTGTGTGTTTTTTTGAAAAAAAATGTACAGTTTTGAGGAGCTTAATTACAGAAAATATGTGTAGGAATTAATTTGTTGCCGCCAGATTATGTAGATTGCAGAAATGAATAAGACTTAGATTCAGATTTAGTGCGTTTTTGCAGGAGCTTGCCAAAACTGAGTCCCAACACTGATAGGCTTGGCTATATAGCCCCAGTACTTCTGGGCTTGCCGCATCAGTTATGAACAGCAGTGTGCAGAGACTCCCCAGCCTCCCTGCTTGGGTGCCCCAGGAAATCAGGTTACCCCTTACCCTCTTCCCCTACACTCTCTTGCACATCTGAACCCCTTCCTGCACCCCCAGCCTACTACAACCCACAGCCTGCACCCAGACTGTCACACACCTGCATCCCAGGCATTCCCTCCCAGAACTTGACTGTGCACCCCTTCGTACATCCCAGTCCCCTGCCTCCCCCCCGAGCCTTCACCCAGACTCTTCTCCAGAGCCTTAGGCGGGTGTGGCTTCTGGGCATTAAATATATGGAGATATACCTATCTCATAGATCTGGAAGGGACCATGAGAGGTCATCAAGTCCTGTCCCCTGCTCTCATGGCTGGACCAAGTACCATCCCTGACAGATTTGCCCCAGATCCCTAAATTGCCCCCTCAAAGATTGAACTCACAACCCTGGGTTTAGCAGGCCACCACTCAAGCCACTGCGCTATCCCACCACCAAAATGTATGCAAACCTGCTGCTCCAACTGCCAGCACTTAGTAGTTCTGGGGTCAGAAGAGAGAGTTCTGACCCCATGCAGTCCCTCACTTACAGGCTCTGGGCAATCACAGCCAATGGGAGTTGTGGGGAGCAGTGCCCTGAGCCTTCACCCATATTCTTAACTCTTGCCCAGGCCTTGCACCCCAAATCCCTCATCCAGAGCCCACACATCAACATTTTACCCCAGCCCTCAGTCCCCTCCAGCACAGACCCCCACACCCAAACTCCCTTCTAGATGGCAGGCCCCAGATCCCAACCCCCTCCTATGCCTTAACTCCTCCCCAGATCCCCCACTCCAGTTTCCTGTCCTGGGTCCCCTCATATACCCTGTGGCACCAGGCTGGAGCCTGCTCCTGCACCCCAAATGCTTCATCCCTAGCCCCAACCCAGAACCTGCACCCACTCCCAGTCAGAGCCCCTTCCCATACACTTGTAGCACCCTGCAGACAGATTCAAACCCGGGATCTCTAGAGTTTAGTTTAGGAGCCACTACAGCTTGAGCTATATAGCCAGCTGGCTCTTAGCTTAGGCTGTAGAACTTGCTCATTCTTGTCTCCTGCTGTTAGTGGGCTAAGTGCCACTACATGAGACAGTGAACCACACCCACTAGGTGTGTTGGGTACATGCTGAACTCCTCATATTTGGCCCCCTCCAAGATCCTGGGGCAGGGTTCACCAAATCTAATAGCCCTGGGCTTCCAGAAGAGTTAATCTGGTCCTGGTGATGGTGGCATAAAGTTAGCATACAGGCTGGTACATCTCTGCATCTCTTTGTCTCTGCAGGAAACGAATATCCCTGAAGAAACACTGGTGACTGTGGTGAAACCTGGTCTGCCCACAACTGCTGATTTGCTTGTGCTGCTTCCAACAAACCAGCCAAAGCAGAAGAGAAGTATAACTAATGATAAGGTAGCCAGACCATTCTGTGTCTCAAATCTTCATCCCATTGAAATCAGTGGTGATAGTCCCACTGGCTTCATTGATATTAGGAGTTAGGTTTTATGCACCAAAATGCCATCCACCCTACTCCTTCCTGTCACGAACCATGTAATGGCTAGCAGCAGTTGCAATCCCTGTACTTAGAGTGTTCCTTCCCTTTGAACCCTGGGATGGAATCTACCCCAAAGGCAGTAGGTAAAGACCAGGCCATGGATGTTCTTCCTCCTCTAGTCCAATCCATAATGTGGGATGCCCTACAGTAGGGAATATGCCACAGTCCCTGGATTCCTCTCCAAGCTGTTCCAGGGACAGTGTCACTGTACCAACTTGTACCCCAAACTGTGACTATTTGAATATTCCAGCCCCAGTTGGCATAAATATTTCTCAGGGATGGCTAATGTTTGTCTGTTACCTTTGGAACAACAGTGATAACACATTGGTCTATAGTGATCCAGTAGATTACATTTTCTAATCTGGAATGGAAACCGCATATCTAGAACAGTAACATTATTTATTATGGGAGAGGAATCCTTCTCTCTAACTTCAGCACATTAGATCTCAGATACTACTGACTCAAGGCTTTAGGATTTGGCTTATTACATCAGGAGTGGGAATAATTTTTGACAGGGGGGGCCACTTCAGAAATTTTTGAAGTGGTCCCAGGCCACCTCAAAGGGCGGAGCCTCAGACGGAAGGGGCGGGGCCAGGATACTTGCTGTCCCTAGGCCCTGATTGGCCTAGGGGCAGGGGCGCAGCAGGACCTCTGTGGCCAGATCAATCCTCTTGGCGGGCTGGATCTGGACCATGGAGGCCCTTTTGCTCACCCCGGTATTACATGAAGAGTGCCATGTAAAGCTGGTGGTTTTTAATAGTCAGGCAGCTTTTTTTTAGATATTGAGGCAACAGGAGCAAAAAGTTTTAAGTGCAACAGGGTGAAGCTCAAATATTAATTTTCCCCCATCTCCCTATCTGCTGGCCCTATCTCTAATTCATAACTTATGACATTATGTCTTTGTCCATAAAATGAATATCTTAGTGCTGCACCATTGTTAAAGTTTCAAGCATTATCAGTTAAAAGGAGTCATCAATTAAGAATAGTGTTTAAGAGACTAGTTCAGGAGGGCAATATGTTAGAAATTTAAGAGTTCAGAGAACAGAAAACAGTATCCATCTAGCCAGAGCATGTCTACTGATAGGCAGGCCAACTTCCCTGGGTGTCATAATACAACTAACTCATAGAATCTCTTGAAGAGGTAAATCTCAAAGTATTTTGATGTGGCTTCTGAATAGTCAAGCAGATGGTTTTTAACTTAACTTTAAACGTTCAGAACTGAATTAATTAGGATTGAGAATGGTCCTAATGCAGGAAAAACATCCTTAGCCTCCCCCTCTCATCTCAATGTGACGTTCTGAAACACTGACATCACAATTTCCAGGAAACACTGTATTTGAATATGCCCTTTGTGAATTGTGGCTTTCAGACAATTGAGTGTCATCATTTTAAAAGTCTTAAACTTTGTCCTTTTAAGGAATAAGATACCGATTTATGATGACATTGTATCTTTCTGTTCCAAGTTTATGTAGAATAGACACTTTCAATAGTTAAAAGTAATAGATTAAGGCAGATTAAGAGTCCTGCTACGTCTACACTGGCCCCTAAAAACGGAAAAGCGATGCAAATCAGGTAAGTCAGCATAGGGAAATCCGCGGGGAATTTAAATATCCCCCGCGGATTTAAATAAACATGTCCGCCGCTTTTTTTCCGGCTTGGGGGAAAAGCCGGAAAAAAAGCGTCTAGACTGGCGCGATCCTCCGGAGGATCTCTTATTCCTACCTCAGGTAGGATCGCGCCAGTCTAGACCCTTTTTTTTCCGGCTTTTCCCCAAGCCGGAAAAAAGCAGCGGACATGTTTATTTAAATCCGCGGGGGATATTTAAATTCCCCGCGGATTTCCCTATGCTGACTTACCTGATTTGCATCGCTTTTCCGTTTTTAGGGGCCAGTTGTTTGGGTTTTTTTAAAAAATAGCAAGGTTTACTCAGATTAGCTCCCTTCAGATATCAGCTGTGATTAGACATCTGTTTTCAGGCAGCTTGAACAATATCATTAGTTACGTTCTGTGCTGCCTCAGTGTCTTCATGGTCAGATCTGTTCTCCCCTTCCAGATACTCCAAAAGGAAAGGCATGAAGGCTACATAGAGCTGCCAAAGATTTGGAGAAATTCTTAATATCAGGACTGGCTAGAAATGAAAGCAATTTAATAGTGCACAATTTGTATGATAAAGGTCCACACCTAAGAACTAATTTATAGTTATTTAAGCTAGTAGTGCATCAAAGGGATGCAAAAGTCAGGATTGAAAAGAGAAATATGGGAGCAGCTGTATATTCTGCATAATACTTATATGTTGCTGGCAATGTCCAGTTGCCATTCAGCTGGGGAGGAAGCATACAAAAGGGCATACAGGTACCAGGAGCAGAAAGAGTACCTCCAAGGACACCAGAGAGAGAGAGCACAGGGTGTGCTCTGGTAACCTTTTCTACACAATGGGAAGAAGTACAACATGCAGCTTCCCTACCACAACTCTCCAACTTGCTTAGTAGTGTATAATATAATGTGGCCTACTGAAACACCCTGTGTGGAACTTGCAGGTATTAGAAGCTTCTATCGTTACCTTAATGTAGCAAGGTAAACTACTGAAGCTGCGGGTGTGTGCGTATTTCTGTGTGAACTTTTTTTTTAAAGTCACATTTTTTTGTAACCTCTGTGATGGTACCAAAATCTGTTTGACTCAGTACATATCCTTCCAAAAAACATCCATGACAAACTGACCGTCCTAAGGCCTAACCCAGTGTCCAGAAAAGTCAATGGAAGGAACCCCATTGACTTCACTGGGTGTTGTGCTAAACTCTTAGTTATCATTACGGCCCTTCCAAGTTTATGGGCTGTTTTGCTCAATTTCACAGTCATATAACTTTAAATCTGAAATGTCATGGTGTTGTAATTGTGGGGTCCTGACCCAAAAATGAGTTGTGGGAGGGCCACAAGTGTATGGGGGTGCAGTACTGCTATCCTTACTTCTGGGCTGCTGCTGGTGATAGTGCTGCCTTCAGAGCTGGATAGCTGGAGAGTGGCAGTTGCTGGCCAGGAGCCCGGCTCCAAAGGCACAGCTGCCACCAGCAGGAGTGCAGAAGTAAGGATGGCATGTCATGGTTTTGCCACTCTTACTTATGCACCAGTGCTGGTCGCACCTGATCAATAGCTGCCACTCCCCACCAGCCACCCAGCTCTGAAGGCAGCACAAAAATAAAGGTGGCATAATCCCCCCTCTCCCAATTATCTTGTGACACCCTAAAACTCCCTTTTGAATCAAGCCCCTCAATTTGAGAGATAGTACAGGGTGAAAGCACCCAAAAGGTCAGTTACCAGGAGACCAGATTTCATGGTCCATGATGCATTTTTCATGGCTGTGAATTTGGTAGGACCCCAGCTGTCCCTTGTGGCAAACAGTGCATGTTTATGGCATATTGTTGATAAATAACTGAGAGGAGAACCTCCAAGATCTTCAATAATTCCCCCTTTTTATGTTTCACCAAAGGGACATTTATTCTCCTGATAGCTCCAGTTCTGAAAGTTGATGTCCAGGCATTCTTGTTGAGGAGTTGTCATGTTCCAAGAATGCACTCAGTCTGTCCATTAGCCTGGGCAGTCCTTAGGGGCTCTACCTTTTAGCTGTACTCTGAAATGTGAGTAAAACTGGCATCCCTTTGAAAATATCGGATCTCAATGTCAGGTGTTGTTCACCTGCTTGTCTCTCAAAGGAATTACAGCAGGAAGAACTTTTTACTTTTAGATCTAGAATGCTTATGTGACTTGAGAATTGCTGGTGGTTCCAGTATAGAACTCTGTTGGAGAAAGACTAAGTAAATATATTTCAGCCATAGTTGCATTATTTTAGAAGTGCTGTTAATACAACTGCCAGAACTATTCCTCATATCAGACTTGGAGCAGAGTAGTGGAAGCAGTATGTGACCAAGTAAGTAAGTTGGGGATTCAAAAGTTAAATCTCTGGGAGAGTTCTCCTACACATTAACAGGTGCCCAAATGATGTTACCTTTACAATGAGTCCACAAGCAGCCTTATTAAAGTCAGCGAAACCATTTTTGGCCTGTGTGTGGGTGCAAGGATCAGAGTTTTGTCCTTTGAAGTTCATGCACATACTGTAAGAGAAACAGCAGGTGCTTTTCTACCTAACTGTTTGTGAAGGCCTGTCAAAACTGAATACAGTAAGAGGTAACCTTATAAAAAGAGCCTCTTCTGAAGGTTTCATATCTATATAAATGCAAACTTCTAATTTGGCATCCTGTGGGGAGCAATATTTTGAACTAAGGAACAATCTACAAAGCTAGCCTTGATCCTTTGGGAAATTGCCTATGCTGAAGATGCAAGCAGGAGAAAGAGACCAGATGACGTGTCTGCCAGTTGTGGGATGTGGTGGCACTTTTAATGGGGCTGTTCCATAAAAATGCAAAAAATGGTATTTTAGTATACTTTGGCCCCATTAGAAAAATAGGAGAAATTGTTTCTATGTGGATGGAAATAACTGTTTTGACAGAATCTTCTTACCAATATCTTACAAACTGGCTTCCATCCTGAGATAGATAAATGAATTAAAGCAAGACAGGCCATGCACTATCAAGCCACAGTTACTTCTCATAGAAATTTTGTAAGAAATCTTGAATCCCAGAGAGGCATAGGGAAAGCCTAGTGACTTCTTAAACAATGCTGGGAGACTAGGCCTGAGGCTCCTTGGTATGCTCTGCATTGTGTATTAGTGTGTGTGCACCTCAGCCCAGACCCACTCAGACAAACAACCAGGAATAGACTTTATTCTATAAAATAACCCCACAGAACATGATCACTTTTTAGCAGCCTCCTCTCTGCATGCTGCTTCCAGCTCAGTCCCTCCTGAGACCCTTTAGGGGTGGGGAAAAAGGGCCTCCGCAGGCCAGATTCAGCCTGCCAAGCTGGTTGATCTGGCCCATGAAGGCCCTACCACTCCCCCGCCCCCAGGCCAATCAGGGCCTGGGGTTGGGAGGAACACGCAAAGGTTCCTCTGCCCTACCCCTGCCCTGTGAGGAGTGTGTGGAAGTACCATGCACTCCTGGCAGGGCAGGAGGAGGCTTTTCATGCTCCCCCGCCCCCAGGCCCCACTAGGGAGCGCACAAAGTTTCCTCCATCCTGCCCGCACCCTGTGAGGAGCATGTGGCACTTAGAAGCACCGCGAGCTCCTGACAGGGTGGGAGGAGGCTTCACGTGCTCCCCGCCCTCAGGCCCTGATTGGCCTGGGGGTGAGGGAGCATGGGAAGTCCCCTCTCACCGCCAGGGGCATGCATGCTTAGTGGGAAGTGGGGGAGCAAAAGGGCTCCCCTACCCCCAGACCAATCATGGTCTGTGTGTGGGGAAGCCCAGAAGCATCCTGGTCCCACTCTTCTGTTTGAGACCCTGCTCCTTCCAGTGTGGCCCGGGGCCACTTCAAAAATCTCTGAAGTGGTCCCTGGCAAAAAATTATTGCCCACCACTGCCCTAGGGAGAGCAGAGGGTACATCATACAACACAAGCCCCCTTACAAACATGTTCTAACTAAGCCCCACAAGTCCATGTTCTCCTTCTGTTACTTGAACTTCACTTAGGGTGCCCTATAAGACCTTTTTGGTCCTACCTGTAAAAAAACACAGAACAGGATCACAGTTCAGCAGCCTCCTCTCTGCATGCAGTCTGTGTGGTGCTTCCAGCTTAGTTCCTGCTGCGACCATGCTGGAGGCAGAGAGTATATCGTGTCAGGAACCAGGAAGTTCTCCCAAAATGCTGCAGTTTCTAGTCCACAACTTGTAGTCCTCCGAGCTGCTGCTGAGGCACACTGGACCTTGGGCTACATACAGTTAAAAGAATATGTACTGTACGTTGGAAGCACCTTTTAATGTGGCATATTCATTGTGCAAGTTACAATGCAGGAACATGCAGTAGATCCTGTAAATAAAATGCTGTCCATTACATAATGGGGAAAAATTAAAGAGGTCCATAAAGAAAGAGAGAGGTATTTAGCTGTGAACATATGTCACTTTCCAGAATTGATGGGTTGCAGAGACTTGGATAATTTTTAAAACCAGAATTACCTAAATTACAACTCATTGAAACAGTCAATAAATATTTTCTGGGGTTTTCACCATGTTAATTGCACTCTGAGGTTTCTCAGTTTAGTGCACTAAATTTCTCAAAGTGGAGCTACATGGAAGATGCATGACATTATCTCTCTTATGTTTCCAGAGAATAGCTGCTATAAAGCAGGCCTTGAATGCTCATAACATCAGTTTTTTCCTGAGAGGAGGATATTGGGTCTTAGTGACGTTAGCCAGCTCTGATTCAGGTAAAAACCCCAATCTGTAGATTGCTGAGAGGTGTGAAAGAAGAGTCACATTAACTGTTTTCTTACGCTGTTTATTAATTTAATATTTACCATCCACGCAACTTAATTTACTGTTTTTGAAGTTTGTTTGTGATACTCTCCTAGAAGCTTGAAAATATTTTTCTCTAATTTTTGTCCTTTTCGCTAAAATAGACAGGTTATCAAACACTTAGTGCATTCAATTTGTATCTGTACTGTTTTGGACACTTAGATATCAGGGTTCCCAATTTGCCAGTCTATATAAGTATTTGGGCTCACAGTTCAAATATACAAAAAACAGAGGCGAGGACTGAGAAGTTTTCTGTATTCGTGTATGGGTGTTCTGTGAAGGTAGCATACATTGAAAAAGTATATTTTATCAGCAAGGATAGTTTTGACTTGAGCCATCCCTGACAATCATAGGGTTTGAAGAGACCTCAGGAGGTCATCAAGTCCAACCCCCTGCTAAAAGTAGGACCAATCATAAGAACATAAAAATGACCATGCTGGGTCAGACCAAAGGTCCATCTGCCGACAGTGGCCAGTGCCAAGTGCCCCAGAGGGGGAGGACTGAAGACAATGATCAAGCAAATTGTGTCTCTTGCCATCTTTCTCCAGCCTTTGACAAACAGAAGCCAGGGACACCATTCCTTACCCCCTGGCTAATAGCCTTTTATGGACCTAACCTCCATGAATTTATCTAGTTCTTTTTAAAACTCTGTTATAGTTCTAGCCTTCACAGCATCCTCTGGCAAGCAGTTCCACAGGTTGACTGTGCGCTGTGTGAAGAAGAACTTTCTTTTATTAGTTTTAAACCTGCTACCCATTAATTTCATTTGGTGTCCTCTAGTTCTTATATTATGGGAACAAGTAAATAACATCTTTATTCACCCTCTCCACACCACTCATGATTTTAGATACCTCTATCATATCCCCCCTCAGTCTCCTCTTTTCTAAACTGAAAAGTCCCAGTCTCTTTAGCCTCTCCTCATATTGTGGACCTCAGTTGTGGACCTGTTCCAAACCCCCTAATCATTTTAGTTGCTCTTTTCTGAACCTTTTCCAATGCCAAAATATCTTTTTTGAGGTGAGGAGACCACATCTGTATGCAATATTCAAGATGTGGGTGCATTATAGTTTTATATAGGGCAGTAAGATATTCTTTGTCTCATTTTCTATCCTTTTTTTTTTTAATAATCCCTAGCATCCTATTTGCTTTTTTGACTGCTGCTGCACACTGCGTGGACATTTTCAGAGAACTATCCACGATAACTCCAAGATCTCTTTCCTGATTAGTTGTAGCTAAATTAGCCCCCATCATATTGCATGTATAGTTGGGGTTATTTTTTCCAATGTGCATTACTTTACACTTATCCACATTACATTTCATTTGCCATTTTGTTGCCCAATCACTCAGTTTGAGATCTTTTTGAAGTTCTTCACAGTCTGCTTTGGTCTTGACTACCTTGAACAGTTTAGTATCGTCCACAAACTTTGCCACCTCACTACTTACCCCTTTCTTTAGATCATTTATGAATAAATTGAATAGGATTGGTCCTAGGACTGACCCTTGGGGAACACCACTAGTTACACCTCTCCATTCTGAGAATTTACCATTTATTCCTACCCTTTGTTTCCTGTCTTTTAACCAGTTCTCAGTCCATGAAAGGATCTTCCCTCTTATCCCATGACAACTTAATTTACACAAGAGTCTTTGGTGAGGGACCTTGTCAAAAGCTTTCTGGAAATCCAAGTATATTGTATCTACTGGATCCCCCTTGTCCACATGTTTGTTAAACTCCTCAAAGATCTCTAATAGATTAGTAAGACATGATTTCCCTTTACAGAAACCATGTTGACTTTTGCCCAACAAATTATGTTCTTCTACGTGTCTGATAATTTTATTGTTTACTATTGTTTCAACTAATTTGCCTGGTACTGATGTTAGACTTACTGGCCTGTAAGTGCCAGGGTTGCCTCTAGAGCCCTTTTTAAATATTGGCAATATGTTAGCTGTCTTCCAGTCCTTGGGTACAGAAGCTGATTTAAAGGATAGGTTACAAACCACAGTTAACAGTTCTGCAATTTCACATTTGAGTTCTTTCAGAACCCTTGGGTGAATGCCACCTGGTCCCGGTGATTTGTTACTGTTAAGTTTTTCTATTTGCTCCAAAACCTGGCACAATCACTTTAAGAACCACAGAAATAAAACAATGAAAAGGGACTCCATGGAGCCCCTATGAAAGCAGAAATAAGAGGCTGGAGAGTGGCAGTTGCTGGCCAGGAGCCCGGCTCCAAAGGCACAGCTGCCACCAGCAGGAGTGCAGAAGTAAGGATGGCATGTCATGGTTTTGCCACTCTTACTTATGCACCAGTGCTGGTCGCACCTGATCAATAGCTGCCACTCCCCACCAGCCACCCAGCTCTGAAGGCAGCACAAAAATAAAGGTGGCATAATCCCCCCTCTCCCAATTATCTTGTGACACCCTAAAACTCCCTTTTGAATCAAGCCCCTCAATTTGAGAGATAGTACAGGGTGAAAGCACCCAAAAGGTCAGTTACCAGGAGACCAGATTTCATGGTCCATGATGCATTTTTCATGGCTGTGAATTTGGTAGGACCCCAGCTGTCCCTTGTGGCAAACAGTGCATGTTTATGGCATATTGTTGATAAATAACTGAGAGGAGAACCTCCAAGATCTTCAATAATTCCCCCTTTTTATGTTTCACCAAAGGGACATTTATTCTCCTGATAGCTCCAGTTCTGAAAGTTGATGTCCAGGCATTCTTGTTGAGGAGTTGTCATGTTCCAAGAATGCACTCAGTCTGTCCATTAGCCTGGGCAGTCCTTAGGGGCTCTACCTTTTAGCTGTACTCTGAAATGTGAGTAAAACTGGCATCCCTTTGAAAATATCGGATCTCAATGTCAGGTGTTGTTCACCTGCTTGTCTCTCAAAGGAATTACAGCAGGAAGAACTTTTTACTTTTAGATCTAGAATGCTTATGTGACTTGAGAATTGCTGGTGGTTCCAGTATAGAACTCTGTTGGAGAAAGACTAAGTAAATATATTTCAGCCATAGTTGCATTATTTTAGAAGTGCTGTTAATACAACTGCCAGAACTATTCCTCATATCAGACTTGGAGCAGAGTAGTGGAAGCAGTATGTGACCAAGTAAGTAAGTTGGGGATTCAAAAGTTAAATCTCTGGGAGAGTTCTCCTACACATTAACAGGTGCCCAAATGATGTTACCTTTACAATGAGTCCACAAGCAGCCTTATTAAAGTCAGCGAAACCATTTTTGGCCTGTGTGTGGGTGCAAGGATCAGAGTTTTGTCCTTTGAAGTTCATGCACATACTGTAAGAGAAACAGCAGGTGCTTTTCTACCTAACTGTTTGTGAAGGCCTGTCAAAACTGAATACAGTAAGAGGTAACCTTATAAAAAGAGCCTCTTCTGAAGGTTTCATATCTATATAAATGCAAACTTCTAATTTGGCATCCTGTGGGGAGCAATATTTTGAACTAAGGAACAATCTACAAAGCTAGCCTTGATCCTTTGGGAAATTGCCTATGCTGAAGATGCAAGCAGGAGAAAGAGACCAGATGACGTGTCTGCCAGTTGTGGGATGTGGTGGCACTTTTAATGGGGCTGTTCCATAAAAATGCAAAAAATGGTATTTTAGTATACTTTGGCCCCATTAGAAAAATAGGAGAAATTGTTTCTATGTGGATGGAAATAACTGTTTTGACAGAATCTTCTTACCAATATCTTACAAACTGGCTTCCATCCTGAGATAGATAAATGAATTAAAGCAAGACAGGCCATGCACTATCAAGCCACAGTTACTTCTCATAGAAATTTTGTAAGAAATCTTGAATCCCAGAGAGGCATAGGGAAAGCCTAGTGACTTCTTAAACAATGCTGGGAGACTAGGCCTGAGGCTCCTTGGTATGCTCTGCATTGTGTATTAGTGTGTGTGCACCTCAGCCCAGACCCACTCAGACAAACAACCAGGAATAGACTTTATTCTATAAAATAACCCCACAGAACATGATCACTTTTTAGCAGCCTCCTCTCTGCATGCTGCTTCCAGCTCAGTCCCTCCTGAGACCCTTTAGGGGTGGGGAAAAAGGGCCTCCGCAGGCCAGATTCAGCCTGCCAAGCTGGTTGATCTGGCCCATGAAGGCCCTACCACTCCCCCGCCCCCAGGCCAATCAGGGCCTGGGGTTGGGAGGAACACGCAAAGGTTCCTCTGCCCTACCCCTGCCCTGTGAGGAGTGTGTGGAAGTACCATGCACTCCTGGCAGGGCAGGAGGAGGCTTTTCATGCTCCCCCGCCCCCAGGCCCCACTAGGGAGCGCACAAAGTTTCCTCCATCCTGCCCGCACCCTGTGAGGAGCATGTGGCACTTAGAAGCACCGCGAGCTCCTGACAGGGTGGGAGGAGGCTTCACGTGCTCCCCGCCCTCAGGCCCTGATTGGCCTGGGGGTGAGGGAGCATGGGAAGTCCCCTCTCACCGCCAGGGGCATGCATGCTTAGTGGGAAGTGGGGGAGCAAAAGGGCTCCCCTACCCCCAGACCAATCATGGTCTGTGTGTGGGGAAGCCCAGAAGCATCCTGGTCCCACTCTTCTGTTTGAGACCCTGCTCCTTCCAGTGTGGCCCGGGGCCACTTCAAAAATCTCTGAAGTGGTCCCTGGCAAAAAATTATTGCCCACCACTGCCCTAGGGAGAGCAGAGGGTACATCATACAACACAAGCCCCCTTACAAACATGTTCTAACTAAGCCCCACAAGTCCATGTTCTCCTTCTGTTACTTGAACTTCACTTAGGGTGCCCTATAAGACCTTTTTGGTCCTACCTGTAAAAAAACACAGAACAGGATCACAGTTCAGCAGCCTCCTCTCTGCATGCAGTCTGTGTGGTGCTTCCAGCTTAGTTCCTGCTGCGACCATGCTGGAGGCAGAGAGTATATCGTGTCAGGAACCAGGAAGTTCTCCCAAAATGCTGCAGTTTCTAGTCCACAACTTGTAGTCCTCCGAGCTGCTGCTGAGGCACACTGGACCTTGGGCTACATACAGTTAAAAGAATATGTACTGTACGTTGGAAGCACCTTTTAATGTGGCATATTCATTGTGCAAGTTACAATGCAGGAACATGCAGTAGATCCTGTAAATAAAATGCTGTCCATTACATAATGGGGAAAAATTAAAGAGGTCCATAAAGAAAGAGAGAGGTATTTAGCTGTGAACATATGTCACTTTCCAGAATTGATGGGTTGCAGAGACTTGGATAATTTTTAAAACCAGAATTACCTAAATTACAACTCATTGAAACAGTCAATAAATATTTTCTGGGGTTTTCACCATGTTAATTGCACTCTGAGGTTTCTCAGTTTAGTGCACTAAATTTCTCAAAGTGGAGCTACATGGAAGATGCATGACATTATCTCTCTTATGTTTCCAGAGAATAGCTGCTATAAAGCAGGCCTTGAATGCTCATAACATCAGTTTTTTCCTGAGAGGAGGATATTGGGTCTTAGTGACGTTAGCCAGCTCTGATTCAGGTAAAAACCCCAATCTGTAGATTGCTGAGAGGTGTGAAAGAAGAGTCACATTAACTGTTTTCTTACGCTGTTTATTAATTTAATATTTACCATCCACGCAACTTAATTTACTGTTTTTGAAGTTTGTTTGTGATACTCTCCTAGAAGCTTGAAAATATTTTTCTCTAATTTTTGTCCTTTTCGCTAAAATAGACAGGTTATCAAACACTTAGTGCATTCAATTTGTATCTGTACTGTTTTGGACACTTAGATATCAGGGTTCCCAATTTGCCAGTCTATATAAGTATTTGGGCTCACAGTTCAAATATACAAAAAACAGAGGCGAGGACTGAGAAGTTTTCTGTATTCGTGTATGGGTGTTCTGTGAAGGTAGCATACATTGAAAAAGTATATTTTATCAGCAAGGATAGTTTTGACTTGAGCCATCCCTGACAATCATAGGGTTTGAAGAGACCTCAGGAGGTCATCAAGTCCAACCCCCTGCTAAAAGTAGGACCAATCATAAGAACATAAAAATGACCATGCTGGGTCAGACCAAAGGTCCATCTGCCGACAGTGGCCAGTGCCAAGTGCCCCAGAGGGGGAGGACTGAAGACAATGATCAAGCAAATTGTGTCTCTTGCCATCTTTCTCCAGCCTTTGACAAACAGAAGCCAGGGACACCATTCCTTACCCCCTGGCTAATAGCCTTTTATGGACCTAACCTCCATGAATTTATCTAGTTCTTTTTAAAACTCTGTTATAGTTCTAGCCTTCACAGCATCCTCTGGCAAGCAGTTCCACAGGTTGACTGTGCGCTGTGTGAAGAAGAACTTTCTTTTATTAGTTTTAAACCTGCTACCCATTAATTTCATTTGGTGTCCTCTAGTTCTTATATTATGGGTATCCCCCCTCAGTCTCCTCTTTTCTAAACTGAAAAGTCCCAGTCTCTTTAGCCTCTCCTCATATTGTGGACCTCAGTTGTGGACCTGTTCCAAACCCCCTAATCATTTTAGTTGCTCTTTTCTGAACCTTTTCCAATGCCAAAATATCTTTTTTGAGGTGAGGAGACCACATCTGTATGCAATATTCAAGATGTGGGTGCATTATAGTTTTATATAGGGCAGTAAGATATTCTTTGTCTCATTTTCTATCCTTTTTTTTTTTAATAATCCCTAGCATCCTATTTGCTTTTTTGACTGCTGCTGCACACTGCGTGGACATTTTCAGAGAACTATCCACGATAACTCCAAGATCTCTTTCCTGATTAGTTGTAGCTAAATTAGCCCCCATCATATTGCATGTATAGTTGGGGTTATTTTTTCCAATGTGCATTACTTTACACTTATCCACATTACATTTCATTTGCCATTTTGTTGCCCAATCACTCAGTTTGAGATCTTTTTGAAGTTCTTCACAGTCTGCTTTGGTCTTGACTACCTTGAACAGTTTAGTATCGTCCACAAACTTTGCCACCTCACTACTTACCCCTTTCTTTAGATCATTTATGAATAAATTGAATAGGATTGGTCCTAGGACTGACCCTTGGGGAACACCACTAGTTACACCTCTCCATTCTGAGAATTTACCATTTATTCCTACCCTTTGTTTTCTGTCTTTTAACCAGTTCTCAATCCATGAAAGGATCTTCCCTCTTCTCCCATGACAACCTAATTTACACAAGAGCCTTTGGTGAGGGACCTTGTCAAGACTTTCTGGAAATCTAAGTACACTATATCTACTGGATCCCCCTTGTCCACATGTTTGTTAACCCCTTCAAAGAACTCTAATAGATTAGCACTTTAAAGACTAACAAGATGGTTTAATAGGTGATGAGCTTTTGTGGGCCAAACCCACTTCCTCATATCATAGTGGGTCTGGCCCACGAAAGCTCGAGGTAAAAATGGGAAAACAAACCCACCCAAAATTCAATACTGAATGAAAGTTGTCATTTTGCTAAACCTGCAGAACAAAAACTGATATTTTTTCTGGGGCTGCGGGAGGAGGGAGGGTGAGAGGGGGGAGCGGGAAAAGTTTTTTCCTTATCCAACCAGCTTTAGTGTTACAGTAAAACAGCAAGAGTTGGAGCAAAGGTTCTGAAATGCCATTTGTTTTGTATGCCCGGAAGTATCTTGCTCTTTCTAAAACCACACCATTTATTAGTCTGCAGATTTCAGACTCTCAGAGGATTGGTGGAGGCAATGGATACTGGGCAATAGTGGTTCTCTTTGTTATCTGTCTAGTTGTAATTGGAGCCTTCATTCTCTACAAGTTTAAAAGGCAAGTAAAGCTTATTTACTTTTAGAACTAAATTTGTTCAAATGTCAGAAAATTTACATATCACTTGAAAACTAGCCTTTTTTGAAGCAATGTACTCTAGCTTTTTAAAGACCAGTGGGGTTTTTCTGAGCTTTTCAGACATCGAGGTTATAACTGATGCAGCAGCAATGCAGGAACCATTCAGCTTGCCTCAATGCCACCACCAAAAATAGCCATTCTAAAATATATCTCTAATTATCTACTCTTAAGAGTAATGAGTAACCTAGGGAACCTGGACAATTAATTGATCCACGAGTCTAATTTCTTACCAAGAAAACAAAACGATGTGGAATTTCTCTTTGAATGTGTTAGAGGTTTGATTACCAAAACGGTGCTGCTCAGGTTAAGAGTATCCATATGCGATCCGGTTAGCTGAGAGAATTGCTGAGCATCTGGGTTCCTTGCTCCCAGAAGGGGAAGGGCCTCAGATGGAGGGGAGGGGCTCAGCTGCCAGCCCTTCAGTGCTACCCGGAGTGCACTGCTTGGGGTGTTGGCTGCATTTTAAGGGGCCTGGGCTCAGCCCACCCCCACCGCTGCAATAATGTCAACAGCAGCCAGGAATCTGACTCCTGGGTCCTTTTGGATCACCAAACCCCAGGCCAGTTTCCCCCATTTCTCTCTCTTGTTGACGGGCATGTTTGTGATAGAAATAAGTAAGAATAGAGTTCATGTGATATCATCTCCTCTCTAATATACTATCACATACGTTATGTAAGCAAATACTTACTCTTTTAATAACTCTAAGAGATTTTTATTCTACATTTGATTATTGGGGTGAATTCATTATTGTGAAGGTGACATGTTACTGGTATTTTAATTCTGGCTTAGGTATTTGTTTTATTATTTGACCATGCTTCTGATTTTAGTTCTGTTTTTAAGGGTCTCAAAAACCTTCAGGTTTGAGCAGCCTGGGAATAAACATTTATTGTCATTTCACAATATCTGCAGCCCTTATTCAGTGAAAATGCCTATTGATTTGGCCCATTATTATTTCAAGATGGATTTTTATTTAAAATAACAATATTTTACAGAATAGACTATCTACCATGCTATGGGTATGTCTACACTACCCTCCTAGTTCGAACTAGGCGGGTAATGTAGGCATACCGCACTTGCAAATGAAGCCCGGGATTTGAATTTCCTGGGCTTCATTTGCATAAGCGGGGCGCCGCCATTTTTAAATCCCTGCTCGTTCGAACCCCGTGCCGCACGGCTACACGCGGCACGAACTAGGT